AAATTAATAGAGTGCATACGGAGTTGGAAGGAGGCTATCGGAGACTCACCGTGGTCGTCTCCCGAATTCGTCCACATTAATATTGCTATTGCTAGGCTTTTTAATTGCTTAATGGTTTCCATGCATGAACAAAAGGGGAAGCATTGGGATTTCATTTTTGGACTTGTTGAAGATTGGTTAGAGGCATGCACTTGATTCGAATGATTCGCCCGTCCATTAATTTGATAGATTTGCAAAGATTAATATGGATCTACTGTTTTTGATTCACTTCTTAAGGAGAACGCCCGCTTGGAGATTCGTTTCGAAGCTGTATGTCTCCTGTCCCATGTTATTGACGTTGATGACCAGTCCATAAATAATGTCAGCGCCTACAATGTATCCTTATCGTTATTCTCAATGAATTCGGTGTCCCTTTTTGTTGGCAATTTCTTAAATCTTATAAATTCTGATTAATTATCAAGGATGAGATGGTTGAAAGTGATGACCTAAGAAGCAAATTTTCGACTCATAAACCTCGGCTCTATGAACTTTTATCTCTGTTACTTTTCCACGAGAAGGGTAATACATTAACGTTTTCGGAATAGGGATTTTTGTCATGTTTTAAAAGTTTTTTTCTCTACTACAGCTCATCAGAACAAGACATTACCCGAGCAATATTGCGCATATTTAGACATCTTATCACAAGTCTGTCTAGATTTGCCAAAAGAATTCTTGATTAACAGAAAGGATGAGGTTTTATCTAGTTTCGGTGCTCGGCATGATCGTTTAAAAATCGAGTTCACACTCCTGATGATTCTTTTTTCTTCTTCGAATCAGCTTTATTCCTTACTATTAGTCACGCACGAGGGGATGCAAAAATGTGCCTACAAGCTTCTGCGTGTCTTGATTAGGGAAAAGGCGTTAAGGCTTTCTGAAGAATTGGAGCTTTCTGGAACTTCGGGTGAATCCATTATTCTTATATATCCGAACATGTTTATCCTCCGCAAGGATTGTTCACCAACTATATCCAATTCAAAATAGATGAACCGATAGTGGAACTTGACCGTGGGCTGCGATCCCTGATTATCGAAGCGAATAACGGGGACTACTTGGATGATGCGCACTCTGCTAGTCCCGACAGTCCCGTATGTATAAGTTAATTCAAGGTCTACAGAGGAAAAGCATTTTGTTTTACGAAACTCTTTCCTCATGCACGCATATATGAATAATAGGCGACTCACAAGGCATTTGGATATTTGCTCGCGTGGATGCTCATATTTGATCATTTCGAAAACACGGTATGATCAAAATTCGCATTGATCTGGTCTTTTGGTGAAGACATTCTTGCATTCCCGTTCTCAAAAAATCAAGTATCTCCATTCTATCTTTTCAGACGTTCAAATTCAAATCGCAATTTGTTCAACACCTGAAGGAACTGGACATTACATCAAGATTACATGATTATATATTTGAAACTTTGGGACTTGGGACATCGGATGTGTATGATCTATCGAAATGGGATATACGAGAATTTTACGTTGAAGGTATATTATTATGAAATTTGAAACCTTTATGCATGAAAGAATTCATTTGGCACGTCGCTCACGGTTCACATATTTTCATTTAATCAAGGTTTCGAAATCCCATTATGTTTTGAGATAGGTTTTCCTTTGCTCTGCGCGCATTTATATTACCGAGCACTCGGAAATATTCCTTCATTAGTGAGGTAGTGCGGGTTAAATTGATTTTTTTTTTTTTTTTATTGAAATTGCCGAGTGTATTAACCGATTTCCTCCTACTTAAGGTCATGGTGGTCTGAATGTAAAAAACGCCAGCTCAGCATTAGCGTTGACAGGTGAATGGTCAACCCTTTGATGCATAACAATCTTTACACGATTAATGATTTACGATGATGATCACCTTTCAACTTTTTTTTTTTTGAAACCATACACTTAACCGGTTTGCAGTTACACGGAGAAACATTTCAGTCCCGTGATAATTCAACAGCAACTGGACATGCTTCAGAGTGAGGATGTCAAGTCCCAATTGGAAGATGAAAAGTTCTCAATCCGAGTCGCTCGTAGTTCCAATGAAGTGATTGCCTCGTACAATGTTGACGAGTACGTGATGGAGATCAGTATTCGTATGCCAAACAATTTCCCATTACGTCAAGCCGAGTTCGGAACCCTTGAGAGAATGGGAACAACGAATGTTACGGATCTTAAATGGGCGAAACTTCCTGTGCAGACAGTGGTCAATTCACAGGTATTTTCTAACGCCTTCGCCCTTTTGATGAACTTGCGAGAGACGATTATTCACGTTTGACCTTCGATAGAACGGTAATTTGGATATGGCGTTAAATTTATTCAAGAATAATATCAAGCTTCGCTTTCAGGGAGTCGAGGATTGCACGATATGCTATTCAGTTGTCAGCCTCGATGATCGTTCTTTGCCTTCGAAACATTGTAACACATGTAAAAACCGATTCCACGCGTCATGCCTTTATAAGGTAAACTCCATCGTTCTTTCGATGATCCTCTTTCTTTTCTTCCTCTTTTAAACTCACCCGATCATCTTATAGTGGTTCCGGAGTTCGAACTCAACCAGCTGCCCGCTTTGTAGAAGGTTATTCTAATTTTTTTTTGCACATAGGGCATGCATAAATGGAGTACAATTTTTTCTTGAGATCAAGACCGTATTTATTTGAATTGCCTTCTCTATTTTTGGAAAATAAAATTCATAAAAATATATAAAGTTGAATGAAAATAATTGTTCCATGCTCAAAATCATCTTTATATATATCCACGTGATTCGACCGCATATGTAATTTCGCTGCATGCAGTGCACACGCGATACAATGTGCGCGCATACCTCTTTGTTCATATTACGTGAGTGGTTCTTTGCGCGCTCCAAAAGCGTTTTTTATGTAGACTACTTCAAATAAATTGGTTAAATGATAAATATATTATCACCACTATTATTATTATTGTTGTTATTGATTTCATATTACGAATGATGAACCTTAAAATACAGTGTATAAATTGACAATGCTATTTGAAAGCAAAATTATTGAATTCATGACTTTAAATTAGATACCATTTTTGGCGGAGATTTCTTTGAAAGAGATTTTTTTTAGAGGAACGGTTATCTGGATAAAGACAATAATCGCCTTTATCCCTTCAGGTCAAACCACTCGGCATCGATATTCCAAGAATCATCCATTTGCTTAAATGGGGGCGGGCTGAGATGTGTAAAATTTCGGGAAACTCGTTTTCATTGTGATAATGTCCTACAGTATATGGAAACAAGTTTTTGCACCCTTCAAGAAACTATTACGAATGCCAAAGTTGGGCACAATTGCGAATTTAAACAAGCTCACGTGGAGACGGACAGGTGATAGTGACACATAAGCTCAATCAGGTGAACAGTGGAATGAAAAAAAGTATAAAAGTAGCTATAAGTTATGCACCAGCTTTATCTTTCGTTTCCCATTTTACCCACACGTCACATCGAAAACCCTGGCACGGTTTCGAAACTGAGCCCTTTTACCCAATCATCTTCTATCAACACCTTTCATTCCACTTTGGATTGTTGCTAACCAACTTTCATAATGTGTGTACTCTCACGCGATGAAATAGAAAAATATCAGAAGGAAAAGTACGTCATCTTCTTTAATTCTTAAGAATCCAATCCAGTGCTCACCAATCTGGCATATTAATCATCCGGTTTTCCCTGCAAAATCTTAAGGAAACTCATAATTGAACCGTTCGATCAAGAGAATCTAGGCACTGCAAGGTTAGTGTCATCTCACCTCCACATGATTTAATAAGGGTTGCCTCCTTGGTAACTCCAACGCAATGTTTCACCAATTATTCGCCTACACCAGTGCAATCCTCTTTAATCCGAGTGCTGGTCAGATTTAATCTTTGTTTATTCCTCTATTTTGTATAACAGCGTCGATCTAACTCTCGGTGACGAATTCCGATATTTTATTCATCACAATGGACCGGTACCAATTAGTGATACGGCAGGTGCCAAGGATTACCAAAAATTTTCTCGCATTGTAAGTTTCATTGTATCTTCATGTGTTTGTAAATTCGTTATCACTGTTGACACGTTGAACTGCATGCAGTTGAAGTTAGACGAGGGCTGCCCATATTACCTTGGTCCCGGTCAGATGTGTCTAGGTCGGTTCAAAATTCTCTCGATCGTTCTGTCCCCGATGTTTAACAAAATCAAATCTGTGATATAATAGGAATTACCAGAGAGAAGGTTCAATTACCGGACGATCTATGCGCCTTAATAGGTAAATGATGATGATAACGCGATTCGATCGTGCCACCTTCGATGATTTTGTGTACTCACTCAACTCCAATTTTATTCTAACCTAGAGGGAAGGTCGAGATTCGCAAGGTTGGGATTATCGGTTCACATCACAGCTTCGTTCATAAATCCGGGTATACAAAATCGGACGGTGCTAGAAATCTTTAATGCATCGAGCCTCACGTTGGCTCTCTATCCTGGTACCAAAGTATGTCAAATGATCTTTATGAAAATGGAAGGTAAGGCCGCTTACAGCGGGATATTTCAAGGACAAGATTTGTAGAGGACAATCCAATTTATCGTGATAAATAGAGTTTCTTAAATTTCATTACGGTCTGGCTGAGATAGATACAGTACATTACACTGTCTTCTACCAGCGAAATCGAGTCCAGATTACAGTAAATCTTTATAACCCAGACTTTCTTACGTGTGGTTAGTCAACATGCATGTTGATAATGGAGTGTCACTTTATCACTTGCTCATGCGCATAAATGGATAGACATTATTGATGATTAAATTTAAATGATATAGAGTATATAAGGTATACTGTATAATACAGTACATACTGCACGTAGATTAATAACGTACATGTTACACGAATTTAATGATAATGTACGTAATGTGACTCCCAGAAATTTGGCATCATCGACAAGACGGGTTAGGATAGTTTGTGATCGTCACGGTCGCTCGATGCATGATGATATCAAATTAATTTCGTAATCACCATACGCACCCTCGCACCCCCTATCCGTAACAATGTTAGTGCTGGTGAACAGATCGTGACTTCACGCACTGCATACGCTAATGCTTGTTATACACTATAAACTGCTTTCCTGTTTATGCATGAGTAGCGATGTTGAATAAAAACATTAACCGACTTTGGGCCCCAGCAAATAAGTCATTGAATCATGTAAAAACTCGTGATCTTATATTGAAACGTACACATATAGTAATATACTGTATAGTAATTTAACGTGGGAATATTAAGGAAAAAGATGAGTTTGCAAATATTATGTAGAAATGCGTGGGAATGGTTAACACTAGCGATGCTTCGGAAACATGGAAAACAGAAAGAAAATTTGTTGCAAGGGAAAAATCACAAAAGAAATTCCTTTTTCCCTAATATTTAACGTGAATAGTTATGGAAATTGATTAATAGAAAAGAAACATTGATGGATTATTAACCTTTAAAATCTTCAAATATTGCAAAACAAATAACTGTATATTCTTTTTTTAATATAAATAGATTTCTTGATATATAGCATGCCATAGCTTTTATGTACTTGGTTGCTCTTGTTATAAGACTAATAAAAGTATTATACAATATACTGTATATTATATAGTTGCATTAATTTTATAATCATTTAATTTACAGTATAAAGATGACTTTAAAGATTATTATATTAGCATAAATAAACTATTTATTTTTAAATCATTATATTGATATAAAATAAGATCTATAAATCAATAGTGCAGTAATTAATATTTCATAGATCAAATTATAAAATCTTAGATCAAATTTTTTAAGAGACAAAAATTCTAAACACTAGTTGAAAAAAAAATTATTTAATATACTGTTACTTATATAACATTTGACAAAAAAAAAAAATAAATAAATAAACAATTCAGCAAAAAATGATATAAATAAATTGACAACTATATAATTTGGCTATAAATATTATAAAAATTGATATATTCATAATTTATTAACAATTCATCAAATAATTCATTAATTATTTAGCAAAAATTTATTAACAATCCAATAAAAGTTTATTACAAAATTTATTTATTAACAATTAAATAAAAATTTGATATTAATTATTAATAATTTGGCATTAATTTATTAATAATTTGTTAAAAATTCATTAATAGTTTATTAACAATTCAACAACTATTTATCAAAACTATTTATTAATAATTTGATAACTATTCATCAAAACTATTCATTAAAAGTTCATCAACTATTTATTAAAAACCAACAACTATTTATCAATAATAAAGTAAAAAAAAAAATTAATAACTTATATATAAAATTTTTTGAATTGAAGTTATATTTATAAATTATCTATATCAGAATAGTTTCAAATTACAATAAAAAATCTCTCAGAAAAATAACTAAAACAACTTATAAGATTTTGAAGAAAAATTATATGAAATGAAAATCAAAATATTTCAAAATAAAATCTAATCAAAACAGGTAGAAAAAAATTATAAATAGTAATGAGAAGCAAAAGAAATTAAATAACTTAAAAAGAATTAAGATAAGAAAAAGAGAAAAATGTTGTAATAATAAAACACTTTATCAGTTGTAACATCAATAATAATTAGCAAACTAATATATAAAAATATTTAAGATATTCAGAAGGCACAATACTAAATAGTGATTGCATTATAGAAAGAAGAATAGAAGAAATATATATAGTACCATACCTCAATACAAAAAAGTCCATTAAAAAAACATGAGATTTAAAAATCTTCAACTCTAGATCAATACTTGAAAAAAGGATTAAAGAAGTAATTTACAGTGATAAAACTCTTTCAGAATTCAAAATGATAGAGTAAATTATATGAATATCAAAATTTGAGAAGAATCTATTATCAAAAAAAATATTAAGAGCATATCAAGATCATCTAATAGATATACTTTAATGTAATCTTGAATCTAAAGAAAAGTCAATCTTATATTCTAATAGATCACTTATTAATTATGATAGAAAAAAAAATAAAGATTGGAGCAATTTTGATTCAAATCAAAAAAGAAAAAAAGAAAAACAAGTTTCAAACAAGAATAAACAATTGACCCTTATCTATAAGAGCTGAATTGATAGCAATTATAACAATACTTCTAATAATTTTAATTAAAAGTATGATAAAAATCTTTACAAATAATTAAACATGTATTTTCAAGTGGAAATCTTTAAAAAAAGAAGACACATGAAAAACATACAAGAGATAGCTCAAAAAAAATTGGTTATATATAATAGAGCTAATAAAAAAAATATTAATTTGAAGCTCACAAAAGTCAAGACACATTCAAATAATTCTTAAAATAAAGAAATGGATATGTTAACTAAAGAAGCCTTAAAATTTCCATTAATTGAATAGAAAGATCTCACTTTATACAAAATTACAATTGAAATAAAGTGGCAAGGAACAACTCTAGATAATTTAATTAGGCAATTTATTAAGAATATTAATAATAAAATAATAATCTATTAATAGATATAACAAACCAAAATGGAGAAAAAATAAAGTTATCAGATTTCAGAATACTAGACTCACACATGAAACTTAATATAGGAAAGAGTTAAATATGGACATATATAAAATATATCTTTTAATCAATTCTAATAAAGAAGCTTTCTTATTAAACTGATCAATTATAAATTATCTATTTTAAGTAATTTGAATGTAAGAAGATAAGACCTATACAAGCAAGTAAAATATATTGCATGTAATCAACAAGATGAAACTATAAAATACTTGCTAGAATGTTTAATTTATAAGAACTAGTTATAAGAGACATGGAATAAAGAAGTAGATATAATTATTCAAAACTTTAAAGAGCTACTATAGGAAATAAAGAGAGAGGTTAAAGAGAAAAATTCCAAGCTGTTCATCAATGAATAAGAAAAAATAAGAGAGTTTAACAAGTGAATCTCTAAAGTAGTGGAATAGACTTTTAAAACTAATCAAAATATACTGAGTTTCTTATTAGTCAAATAAGAATGGATTTTATTCTAGAAATAGCAAACTTAAAATATTAAGGTAAATATATGAAAAGAATAGCAAGAAAGTGGATATTAAAAATATAAAAAGAAGTCTGCAACCAAGTTTAAAAAGAAGTTTGAAACAAGAGATGCAAAAAGATAATTAAATAGAAAAAATACAAAAAATTAATAAAGAGGATAAGACAAAAAGATCTTCATGTTTTTCAGATCAAAAAACTATATCTCTGAAGAAAAGAGATTTACTACCTAAAGAAGAAAATCTTGAAAACAAAAATCTCTGAAAAATTTTAACAAGAAGAGTGAAGTATAAAATAAAATAATTGAATTTTAAGCTCTGTCAGAACCTCACAAAGTAATCTGCAATAGTTATCTATAAACAATAAAATTGACAATTAAAGGATCTTTATCTAAACTATTAATAAAGTAATAAATTACTCCTGAAGTTACACTTAGAGTTTTAATAATTCTTAAAATAGAAACGAGTAAGTTAGGTAAATATTTAGCTTTAGCAATATATTTTTTAATGTAAAATATATATCTACAGTATTTAATAAAGCATATATATCTAGTCCAACAGAGGGTTTTAAAAAAAATTAAATTATAATAATATAAATTATATATTTGTGTTAACTTAAATAGCAATTTACTTATAATATATATTTAATAAACCACTTGTTTAATATATTTATACTTCATACTTATATATGATAATAGTTATTAATAACACAATAGATCTAAAAATAATAACACAACTTATAATTAACAAATTAACATCTTATTTATATAAATAAGAGCAAACAAACAAATATAAATAAACAAACAAATAAGTGCTACTCAAATAAACAAGTAATAATTATTACTCAACTTCAAAAATCTTAGCAATATATAAAATAGCAAAACAATAAAACATATCAATACAATATATAGCAAATTATTCTCTATAGGTAAATACAAACTCCTACAAGTTGTTAAAAAAAAAAAAGTATATATTATTAAAACTTTAGTTTAGATAAATATAATTAATAAAGAAAACTATGGACCTTATAAACCTTCTTGAATGTCACTTTAACTCAAGAAACTATCACAAACCCAATCTTAGATTCAACTAGATATTCAATTATAAATAATATTATTTTAGAATTCTAGATATCAATTACATTATCTTTATCAAAGCCAATGTTCTCAAACAATATATTCTTTACCTATGAACTATAGGACAAAAAAAAGAAGAAAATTTTCTAGTTTTCTTCTTAAAGAACAAATATCCAGATATAATAAAATAGATAGAACAAATACAATACACTTTACAATTGTTATTAACAAATTAATCAATAATTTTTCTACTAACAATCTACTAAATAAGATAATAGTCATGAAAGTTCAAGAAATCATATCAATCAAAATTCCTATTATTACTAAAATCAAAATAGAAAAATAATTAGAAGACAAAATTAAAATGGAAGTTATCGATGAAAAAATTAGTTGAAACAACATAGTAGAATAGCAAGACAAAAAATAGAAAAACATCCAATATATTAATAAAAATTGTTAT